AATTAACGCCTCAAAATGCAAGTTCGCAACTAAAGAACTTAAATATCTCGGTTATAAAATTTCGCAAAAGGGTATAGAAACGCAAGATTCAAAAATAAAAGCTATTAAGAATTTCCCACCGCCCAACCGCCCAACACCGCCAAGAAACTTTCGTCTTTCCTTGGGTTATGTTCTTACTATCGATCTTTCATAAAAGATTTCGCTAATATTGTTGAACCACTCTTAGTAATCAAAAGAAAAAGAGTAAATTTACGTGGACAGCGGAAGCTAACACAGCTTTTGAAAGATTAAAAGAAGCGCTTATTAATGCCCCTGTTTTAAAATTCCCTGAGGGGGACGAAAACCTGGAAATTGCGGCAGATGCGTCAGACTATGCGGTGGGTGCGGTTCTTATGCAAAATAACCATCCGCTGGCTTGGCATTTTTTAGTAAAACATTGAATCAGACACAAAGGAATTATACAGCTACAGAAAGAGAGAAACATTAGCCGTATTAATGGCTGTACACAAATTTCGAGTTTATTTCGGCAAATCGCCAGTAACAGTCTTTTCGGATCATGCGGCTGTTGGTAGACTTTACTCGGGGAAAAAAACCTAACGCCCAGGTTAATAAGATGGGCTTTAAAACTCCAAGAATATAATATCACAATAAAATATAAACCGGGTAAGGAAAACAATGTAGCTGACGCACTTTCTCGTATAAAAACTGGACGATGAAGGAAATGAACTTAAATGCGCTGTGTTGACTTCAAAAATTTTAGATTCTAGAGATACGGTTATTACTGAACTGAAAGCTGATCCTGAATTTGGAAATATCTATGCTTATTTGAAAGACCCCGAAAGCTTTGAGCACACAGATATCGATGCGATAAGAAATAGAGCAAAAAACTATGAAATAATAGATAATTTATTATTCTATACGAAAACAACAAACGAAAATCTTGAGTATAAGCCAGTCATCCCAGCCTCGCTTCGATTAAGCATTTTGAAGGAGTTGCACGAAAAAAAAAACAACAGCGGGCCACCTCGGGGTCAGAAAGACTATTAAAAGGGTACGCGAGGCGGTATATTTCCCGCAATTATACAAAATAGTAACGGCGTATGTCAGGTCCTGCAATCAATGTCAGTTTAATAAATGATATTAATTACAGCCCGGCCGGGTACTTAAATAGCATTCGCGCTACATTTCCGAATGAAATTTTAGGCATAGATCTCCTTGGTCCCTTCCCCCAGAGCGAGTTAAATAAAAATCGTTTTCTTTTAGTAATAGTAGATCATTTTTCAAAATGGATAGAAATTGTTCCACTTAAACGCGCGTCAGCCAAAACAGTCGCAGATGCATTCTTACACAGATACATTTTAAAATACGGTGCACCGATAAAAGTCATTAGCGATAACGGAAAACAATTCATTAGTCAAATATTTGAAAACATATGCAATGGACTTGGCATACGCCATATCAAAATGGTTCCGTATAGACCACAGGCTAACATAGCAGAAAGAGTTAATAAAAACATAGTAAAAATAATTCGCAGTTACGTGAGCACACATCACAAGCGCTGGGATGGCTACATAAATGAATTAGCTTATGCTTTAAGAACGGCACATCATGATACTACGGGAAAAACTCCAGCAGAATTATTTTTTAGGCAGAAAGTTAATTACGCCTTTAGATAAAATTCTTTGTTTGTGCAACAAAGAGAGCAGGAGTTTAAACAAAAGATGTGTGCAAAAGTTATTGATCAGGCGCTTAAAACCTCGGATACGGCAAGAAATAGACAAAAGTTATATTATGATAGAAAACGCCGTGAAGCAGATTTTAAAGTTGGGGATAAAGTATTGAAGCGGAAATTTTCTTTATCAAGTGCCCCAGACAATTTTATGTATGGCAAAGCTAGCTCCAAAGTTTGAAGGCCCCTATGTAATTCAGGAAATCAAAGGAGTAGTATTATATCTTAAGAACGACAGAGGGGAAATCTGTAAAGCAAGTCCCGACCAGGTGAAAAAATACTATAATCCAAATGATTTTGAAATCCTTAAAAGTTTCTTGCAGGACTCAAGTCTAAACGAAATAGAAGGGCCAGAGACTGCAACAACTATTCCACCACCCAAGAAACAGAGAACTGAAGAGAGACCTAGCACTTCTACAACCCGGACGTCGGTATCAAAAAGAAAAAATGATTTTCAAACTCCGGCGTTTAAGAAAAACAAAAATACAGATGAACCGGGTAAAGAAACCGTGGTAAAGACGAAAACACACCACCTACAAAGGATGGCAGGAGAAATTACACATCAAGGAGAACGCGCACACGGCCACAGAGTCAGGTGCCAGCAAGGCCGCCGTTCCGGAAACTGAAACGTCCAACAGGAGGCACAAAAATACGAGGAACAGAAGAAATTCAAGAAGGACTCCAGACCGGAGGACGTCAAGACCAGCCGTCCCAGGCAGAAACGCAAAAAGGCCAACAACCAGACGATTACTTACTTACTCCGTCAAGAGGCCAGCATGTAGAGGACGCAAAAGAAAGAGCAACGTGGACGACACTCGGAGATCAATAAGGAGAAGATTGACATCCATGAAACCTCTAACTTGGGATCAATTTTGCCAAAAACGGATGACGGAGTTTCAAGCATCGAAAACTCAAAGATAAGTTAAAACCTTCTATAAATTTTTTTTTTTTTTTCTCTTTTGTTCCGAAATGTTATGCATAAGTACGAAGTTCTATGTGTTTGACGAAAGTCAATATGTCTCGGTTGAGACTTAGTTTTGTTTTACTTTATTTAGCTAAGGCAAAAGCATAAAAGTATTATTTTCTTTAAGTGTAAAAGCTAAAGAAAAACAGCATTTCTGTTGGTCGAAAGACTAATTCTGTTATGTTAAAGCCAAAATTTGGCCGAAGATAAAAATAACTTCGTATTCTTGTATTAATAAGAATTTTAGTTTCAGTGCCGCCAGCTTGGCGAAGAATGAGTAAAGTAAAAATTTATTTTCTCTTATTCATTTTATGGTAAATTGTAAAAAGCATATGTATTAAAATTTTGTAAATGTATGTAAATACTTGAAGGTTATGTAAAAGTAGAATTTAGTCTAGAAGCATAAAATTGTAGATGCTAAAAGTGAATCAAAATTTAAGTATAAATTGTAGATAAAGTCATGCTTTAGAGCGAAAGCCTGCATGTTTAAAGATGAATGAGGGGGAAGTTAGAATGAATGTGTTTTGTAGGGTTCTCCACCTACACTTTGAATTTTTAAGAATGTTAAAGTAGCTCATCGAGTTGTAGAATGTCGAGTAAGGTGTGTCTATTTGGTCGTTGAATTCTAACAAATCATGGTGGTTAGGGGAAGTGTTGTAAGACTAAAACACGAATATTCCCGTTTGACACCACACACGTGGAGAGCCAGGGTAAAGTTTAAATTAATGCTTGAAAAATTGAATGAATGTGAAGTAAGCAATAACTAAGAAAAACGAATCGTTAAAAACAAAAATTTATTGTGTCAAGAAAGTGTAAATTATAATGTATGTAGAAAGATACTGATACTTATTCCTTCCAGATGCTGGAAGGAAAGACCAAGATTGATTGATGAAGTCCAGGAAAAGTTGCTGTAAGAAGAAAGCTTTGTAACGAGTAACAGAATTTTAATATATAATTGTTACATAAGATTTTTTTTTGTGTAAACGAGGTTCTCGCCAGTTAGTTCAGAATTAGATAAACTTACAACAGGTCGTTTGTAGGACCTGCTTCCCAAGTTTTCCAAATTCTGGCAGCGGCAAATGTAGGGTTTATATTTATTTTAACTAACATTTATTTTAAGTTTAAACTATCTTTCCTGTCAAGCCTTACTTTCCCCTGGAACTGCCAATGCCAGAATATGTAAATTTGAGTAGAACGCGCAAGGATTCAAATTATCAGCGGAAGTATTCTGATTTAAATAGAAGGAAACGAGTTCGGTGTGAGAGATTTCTTACTTCAGCGAGCGCGGAGGTAGTTAGCGAGAATTGAAGAACCCCGCGTTGCGGCCTATGTGCTTGGCGGGAAGTAGTGGTCAATCGTTCCAGTGAGCTTCAAGTCTTGCTGAATTAGCAGCGGTATTGTAAAACGCGGTGAGTTAGTTATTTTTGAGAGCCTCGTAGTTAGAATCTTGTCTTTATTTTCTTTTCAGGTTATTATTTTTATTTGACTGCCAAGTTGGCACCGTCTGTAAGCGTCAAGAGAACGCAATTGTAATTTATTACGTTGAATAAAAAGGGACTTAAACCCTTCACAAGCTTCTATCTTTTATACAAGTTTTCACAGTCACCTCTTGGTCGCGTGCAAGTTGGAGGCGCGCAACGTTATAATAATTAAATTTGATTGGCAAAAATATATTTATCCTTGTAATTCGATAATCGAGTGCAAAAACAGAAAACTTCGGTGAAAAAAACGTTATCCCACGTGAAAGAGATTTGCCACTTAAAATACTGTTTTAAACTATATTTGTGATTTTTAAAAATATTTATTTACTTATTTATCTGCACCCTTTATCTGTTCCATGATGGGGAAAAAATGTGTCCGCTCTGACCACGATGAGTTTCGCAGTGTCCGCTGTAACCACTGTCCGCTCTGGCCACGTAACCAATAGGCAACAAATGTTAAATTTCTGCAAGTCGTCCCTACTCCTCCGGATGTAATCAAGGTGACAGCCGGCAACGCCTCAGACGAGAGAGAAAACCCGTTTGGGTTAGTGTATTTCTTATAAGGTCCATGAGCCAGATTTGGTGACGTAGCATCGATTGGTTGCTTGGCAACGCTGCTTGGCTTAAACCACTTATGCCCTTTATACCGTTGGTCTGAATTCAGCTTAAAGTAAGAATTAGAATGATGGCCTTATGGACACCAATTGGGGATACAGAGAATATATGAAGAATAATATAATACAACAATATAATACCACAACATTGAATAAAATAATACAATTAATTTATATCCAATATTTACAAAATAAATATTTTCAAAATACACTTACAATTAAAACATATATTTTTTCCTACACAGCTTTTTATTTTATACAACATTTTAAATATTTGAAACAAAACTAAATACGAATTTAGTTAATAAGTTTATTTCTTATTAAACATTTTGTCACTTGAAGTTTCTTGACAAGCGAACTTCTTCAAAACCAGTCCGTAACTTTCAAGATACTCTTTGGTTGCAAAAGACAAATTTGGAGATGACAAGCCATACATAGTAATAGTTGATGATTCAAAATACAAATCTTTGCCTTCCTGACTCTCTGATTTACTACTGTAAGCTTTCTGTTTCTTTTGAGATGATTTTACAGCATGTGAAGTTGAGGTACCAGAAGTAGATGGAAGCTTCCACACATGAGAATTTTTACTCCTTTTAAAAAGTGGGAAAAAATATTATAATATATAAATATTCTTTTAAATAATTAGCACTTGAAGAAGCGATATTAAACAGAAAAAATTTTATGAAGTAAAAATATTTAAAAAAAAATTGACTAGAGGTTGTCTGTTCCAAACGGCCACTGGGGTTAAATGCAATAAACTCACTGTTCCTTTTTGACTTGGAACATATATATATATATATATATATATATATATTATATTAAAAAAAAAGTAAGTTTTCAAAATGTAATAACACTTATTTATATTTGTATAAGATTTCTTTTAGTTACTATTTTATGCAATATAGAACGATGATATGAGGAATAACAAGCATAACCGTATTTCATATAAATGTAGATCTATAGAGTTGCCAAGTGTACTTGATTAATTCGAAAGTACCATGTTCAGAATAAAGTGTTGTTTTCGGAATTAGAATGGGTTTCCAAAATTAAAATCTCCCATCAAAATAAACAGTACGTATGTGACTATATCGAACATTTCATCAATCAGCAAACTTGATTCATAAGACCACTAAAGAGACAAAATTTTAAATCAGCTGAATTAACTGATGGATGAATGTATACAGATGCCAATATAAAATACCTCCATGAATTGTAATACAGTCAAAAGTCGTTAATCCGGACCTCAAAACTACAAACTTTCTGCGCATATGCGTTTACGCATGCGCCTAATACGTTTACGCATGCGCGTTTAATGTATAACGGACGGTATAAGCTAAGCTAAAATTATCTAATTCTCTATTTCAGTCGCGTTATTTCAGATTACGTTGTTCCTTTAATCTTCGAATTGGATCCGGCTTATTATTTTTTGCAGACTGTTACAGCAATTTTATAAAAGTAAGTTGGAACTTTCGATTATGTCAAATAGAACTTCCGATGCTGGATCTACAAAGGGAAAGCATGTTTCGATGTTCATCAAACAAAAAGTGGAATTGCTGCAAAAATGGATAAAGGCTCCTTTGTTTCTCTAACCATTCCGAAATCTGTTTATCAATTTCACCCTGCTCTGCGCGGGGTGGGGAACGTCGCGGTGCGCAATGAACTGGAAGTTGATCTGTCAGCACTATCCTTATTTTCAGGGCAGATGTTTTTATTTTATTCGGTTTAAAATTCCTTACTAAATATAGTATTTCATCTCGATGTACTCCATCTTTGATTTAAATCAAATTCCTCGTCATTATAAACATTATAAATATCACGAATACAAATCAAATAATTTTCTGGTTGCAATTTTCTAATTTCGACTACGCGTAATGTACGCTTTACACATGCGCGCGTTGAAAGAAATGTTTAATAAAGTAAACAAATAAATATTAAGCTTTTTTTGGGTAAATTTTGATACCCTTTAGATCATAATTGCTCTTTATTTCATAAATTACGGTTTCATATTTTTAATTTTATAATTTCTGCATGCCATCTTACCAGATTTAAACTGATGATCTATAATCCGGAAAAATCGATAATCCGGAATCGGCGAAGTCCCGACGAGTCCGTATTAAAGACTTTTGACTGTATTGACTATACATATATCACAGACACCTGTTTCTTTAATTGTTTAAAACTGAACTGGATTACTATTGGCAATGCTTTTTAGATTTCTGTAGGCCACGCCACTGTCTTTTGCTTGTCTGTCTTCAGAATGACTTTTCTATGTAGTATTCTAAACCCTCCGCCTGACTTCATTCCACAGCATCATTTGCTCTCATTCTTTACTACACCACTCAGATGAACTGATTTGTGTATCAAGCATTTCTTTATGTTAACGTTAAATGCTTGATCCTCATACATGTTCCTTGGCAAAGATTTTACAATTGCATTAACATCAACTGCATACTGATTACTTGCCCAACTATACCCTTTTGCTCACAATCAAAGAATTTGTATGAAAGGCAAATGAGGCAATATCAGGCTTTCACTTATTGAGTTAAGCTATGAAAAACTTGGACGATCCAGATATGTGAACCCCGACTCCGATAAAGCTGTTATTTTATTGATGTACAACGATCGCTTGCAAGAACCACAAAATCTAAACCCTCATACATTTTTAGCTGGAAATTCCTTGTGTAACACAGCTATGAATTTATCATTCTTACTCACTGCAGTTGAATCTTTCATAAACTATAACCTACTGCAAATACTATATCCGAACTTATTGCAGTAAAAAGGTTTTGTTAAATATTTTGTATATTGTTCATATAAATACTTCCATTGTTGTTTACAAAAATATTCTCCTGCGTGATCAATCTGAGGCATGCCTAAATCTGGTGGTAATATACTGGATGAATTTAAAGTTGACTCTCCTTCATTTTTTCTTTTCATTGTAGTGTTTTGCTTATTTCTTTGTGCAACTTATTATTTGCTCGCTCTTTCTTTTTTTCTTCACTTATTTAAACAGCTGCTTGTTCTCTTCTCAATTTCAACAAAAATATTTCGTTAGCTTTTTTAAAAATTTGTTAATTTCAGTGGGAACAAAATTCAAAAATTGCATAACCATTCATGACTACAAAAAACAAGCACCTGAGCCAGCCACCAATTTAGAGATGGACAATCCACTATGAAGCCCATTCCCTTCACTGAATGAAAAATCGGTGCTCCCGTGAAAATGGAATGGCAGTTCTTTAACAGTTAAACCGAGAGCTGTTGTTGGGAAGCATGCCGAAAAAATTTATTCCTCTTAATGTAAACACAAGCATTCTTTCCTTTATTATTTACTATAACATCTCTGAACTATTTTTTATGCGTGTAATGTATGTGTATATGTGTGCTTTTAATTTGCTTTCGTTCCACCTAGTATTAAAAAAACAAAACATTAGATGTGTTTAAAGTACGTAGATTATTGAAACTAGTTCATTGTATTCCCAGCTGTCAACATTTGGGCACTCCTTCTTTAGTCGCAGATCTGGGTTCTTCGGAGTCGTGATTATTAACTCTTTTCATCGTTCTTACCCTAGCCATGAATCTAATTCCTATCACTGAAGTTGAATCATTCATTATTCGCTTTTTTCATTACTCCTGCTGCTCTAGCTGCAAATCTGGCTCCTGCGAAGTCTTGACTATTTGCTCTTTTCGATTCCTCGGAGCTGTTCCTCTGAGTTTCATTTCAGTTCTTTGAATATTGTGCCATAGTATAGCTATGTATATTAGGTATTCCCTTTTTTTAAACAATATTACTGCAATATTTATGTAAAATAATAAATTATGTTTTTATTTATTTACCTATTTTACTACGTCTTGTAATAAAGAGCTGTAAATGTCTCTTTAATCTTCTTTAGAATTAGTATATACAGTACAAAGTCCGTAAACCGGACTCGTCGGGACTTCAGCGATTCCGGATTATAGATCATCAATTTAAATCTGGCAAGATGGCATGCAAAAATTATACAATTACAAATATGAAACCGTAATTCATGAAATAAAAAGCAATTATGATCTAAAGGGTAATATATCGGCCCCCCGATCGACGCAGTCGATGACCATGGAGGGACCCCTCCAACCAACAAACGAGGGAGCCAGCCGTGTTCAACTTCAATCTTATAAATACATTTATAATAATCAAATATCAGTTCTTTAATTTTTAATTTAATTTAATTCTCAGCACCGAGAAACCAGGCCCTGGCCCCGAGTAACAAAAGAGTTAGTAAAACGAAACGTAACAAAATAATAATATACAAGGTGTAAATGGTTGCCAGCTTTATTAATTCTTTTATCTCTTTCTAAAACTCATACACACCAAACTAACTAAATAAAATAATAAGTTTTTACACCATAGTTAGTATAAAATCAAGATATCACAACCATGGACCTTATAAGAGATAGACCAACCCAGTGGGCGGGGCGCGCGTCACCGACATGTCGGCAAGAGAGAGTAGAGACGGTCTGGTTTACTTTAACACTGAAACCTATGGCGTTCGTATCACATAACTGTTTTTAATTATTAAATGTTACACGTTGCATAGTGATGAGATTATGAAAGCCACAGTTTTTTCCAATTAGGATTTAATACATCTTATTAAAGCATTTTTTACTACCATTCGCGCATTTTCTCACGCGTAATACCTGTATAAATATCTTTACTTTGGTAAAAACTCTAGGCACAAAATTTATGAACTTAATTTTGCCTACAAATAACGTGAAATCAAATAAGATTGATAGTACGCGATGCTTTCAAATAAATAAGGTAAAATTAAACAAGATCTGATAACTTTTTTTTTTTTTTAATTTAATGACCATTTTCAAGCAGTGATTTTCAAAAATATAATAACATTACAAAACAATCATTTATTTGATTATATCATCATTAACTTAATAACATTAAAAGTGGACTATTTATTTTAGTAATTTATAAAATTCGGAGCATAAAATTTTCTGAGTGTAATGAGAAAAAAAAAAAAAAAAAAAAAAAAAGAAACAAACAATAAAATCTAGACGCCCTCAGATTATATATTACTCCCAAAAGGAATATTTTTTTTAACGTTTTGTGTGTTACCTATATTTATTGAATATCATGTTCTTCGCCCGTAAACCACATACGTTTGAAAACAGCATATCTTTAGAATTTCCGCACTGGAGATGAAAATGTTATTTTCGGTTCAGTGAACTCGTTGAGTTTGTTAATCAAAAATTCGTTAAAGTTTTATGAAATAGATTAAAAAAAATTCGAAATTCAGCCGTCCAAATGCCCATGTTCGGGTAGAGGATTACATTATTCAAAATTTGATGGCTCTAGACACTGTAGTCGTTTTTGTCACAGTGCGAAAAACATCCATGTATTCATGCAGATTCTTCATTAGTTAATTTCTTTAAATATAATACAGGGCGATAATATTTGGTAACAACAATTTGCAATGAGGCACGGAAATTTATAGCGCAAAATGCCACCTCGAAACTAACAGCCTTTCTAGGCTACCGGCCCTTTGAGCTAATAAATTAAATTAACAGTAAATAAAAAAAAAAAATCTTATGCAGAACTAAA